TTCAGCTGTTCATTATGGTGTCACCAGCTTTGTAAAGGTATATGATCCTTTCACAACATGGAACATGTTTTCATTTGGCTGTTTTGTTTAATTGATTAAAATTTGTTTTCCATACAAAAAAAACATGTTTGCTGTAAAAAGTAAAGGTGAAAAGTAAAAAATAAATCCCACCTAAGGAGATCTGCAATGCATGAATGTTTGATAAAAAGCTACTAGGGTTGATCAAGCTGACAAAGTCGGATATTTAGTGTCTTTTTCAGCTTACCGGTAAATTAAAATATGGTAGGCTAAAAAAAATCCAAATGTTCAAATGTTTTGAACTAGATCAACAAGTAGATATTTAAAACAGCCATGAGAAAAGTGATCTGTTGCCACCAAGGACAAAAACTTTTAAATCTAATATTTCACTTTTATGTAATTTAAAGAGACTTTCCTTAGCTGACTGTAGGAGTGTTGGAATAGATCAGACTCTTCAGTTACTGTAAGTCACAGGATTCAGGCCACAAGTCTCTCGCTCTTATCTAAGCAGGATATTCTTCAGACTTTCCAACTCTGTAAGGCTTCTCTTAGACAACATCAGTTTCAGTCATTTGTATTTTGAACATGTGTCAAAATTTAACAGGACCCTTTGTATTTTAAGATTGGGCAATATCTACCAGATGTCTTTTATCTGACAAAAAAAATGACATTTGTCCTTACTGGTCTTTCCCGTGAAAAAGGTTTAATGGTCATGATGATTTACACAGAGGCTTTAGGTTCTTTCATCTCTTCTCTTCTTTTTTACAGACGGTCATTTTCATAAGGGATTATAATGCACTTGGACACGAGGTATCTGGATATATAGACTACGCCCACAGACTCAAGTCAGAAGATTTTGAACCATATTTCTGTGGAAAGAAAAGGCTCATGCCAGGACGCTCAGATTTATGGTAAGTCTTTTTTTTTCTTCCCTCTTTAATTTTTTTGGAGGGGGTGAGGGAGAGCAGTATGCAAAGCAGGTCATTTCTTCTATTGAAAATTCTAAATAAATATCCGGAACTTCTTATAAGCATTTTCTACGGCCACCTGTCACATTTTGTCACATTAGTTGACCACAAACGTCAACTAAATTGGATTTTGTGTGATAGTTCCCTCACTTCTTTCATTCTACACTGCTTTACACCATACTAACTCAATAAGATGCTTTTAGCTAAACCTTTCCTTTCCTTACTAGAGGGTAAGCTTTTCACCCATTGTTAAAGTCTGGGGAAATCATATTTAAATGTGAACTCATTCTGGCTTAAACCTGTGCATAAATTTACTCTTTATCAGTCTATTGTCCCAAAATTTAGAAAACTTCTATTAAAAAAAAAAAATGCTGTCATAAAATCTATGTTTTTTTTCTCATTATCCTATGCAGGCCAGTTAGTTATACGTCAGCCTGTACACCTAAATTCAATCAACGGTCATCTGTCAATCACATTTTTTCGGTCATATCATCTTGATTCATACGTCTAATATACGCAACGGTTGAAATAAGAAATAAAATTTATTATTTACTTTACCATTGAGTTCCTTCCCAGTGTTCACTGGGATGGACGTCTGTGTCATCAGCAGGTGTAGAGCAAACAGAACTGGCAGCATTGCGAGGCAAGGGCTCAAACATGTACAGCTGGAAGCCTTCTACACCAAACCAAGCTTCTGCCACCCTGGCGTCCTCTTCCACAACAACTTTGTCCCCTCTTTCCTCCTCTAAATAAAAAATGTTTGACGGAGGAAACTCCTCCATGACCTCCGACACAAAACTATCCTCCTCTTGCATGTTTCTGCTGTCCATAGGAAATGCAAAGTTTGGAATGGCCGTTTCCCTACGACTTTAAGTTCTTTGCAGGCACTGACAGTGTTTCTTGCTGGATTACCCACACAGCATCCCCAAGGCATGATGCTGTTACCAAAACTTCTCACCATGGCGGCTGTGGATTTACTGTTGTGTGCAACTTTATTTTCTGCTAAAGTTTTGTTTTTTTCTTTTTTAAGAATATTTACAAAAAAATTAATTTTGATCAGTAATCAACACAGCAGCTTTTTCCACATGTCTGGATTTAAATTATGGAGCATCAGTGTAAAAGAGGCTGAATCCAAATACACGCCACACTTATCAAATTTGTATCTGTATTTTTTTTTTTTAGTTTGATCTTCAGTGGAAGACATTTAAGTTTATAGTTGCAAAATTGCAAAATCTGTTGTAAGGACATAAAGACATTGTTTATAGATGATGGTATCTTATGCCTCTATGATTTTCAGCATTTTTTTCCAACGATTTTGATCATAACAAAACTATTTTGAGACCTTTTAGCTAAAAAAGCAAAAAAATATATATCTATACACAAGATTTTTAGCATCTTGAACTTTTTTTTTCTAAAGCATTTTAACTTTCTGCTTCTTTAGTAAGGAAAGAAGACACCTTCAGTTTCAAGAACAGATTAAGTTTGAAGAATGTTTGTTTTAGCTTGTGCTGATTTTCTCTGGATGAAGTTTCAGCAACGTGAGGTTCTATCAGCTGCTGCTAATTAACTTCACTTCTGTATCTGTATATCTCTAAAACTCTGAGTACAGGGTTGCACGGCATTCAAATCCAGAGCCAGTTACACGGTTTGCGGCACAATCCGCAGATGAACTTCTGAACTCACAGGTGTAAGCTAAAATCCTCTCCGTATCCCTCGCTCAGACATTTTTATATCTTTAGAGTTCTCGTTCTATCATCAGCCCTGTGTACACAGAGCGCTGTCAGCAAATCATTGGAGCCAAAACCATTCCCAAATTCCACATACTCATGCACTGTAACATGTTACCAACATGTCAGATATGTGTGAGAAACCTCAGAAGGACAAACACAACTGGCCAAAGGTGAGAATGACTGGTAATACATGATTGAGTTAACAGTTCAGCCAAATGTCAGACAACCTGTATAACCCCACTGTTAGTGGGTAAAACAGGGTCTCAAAGGACCATATGTAGGCACATTTAGGATTTACCCTTTAGAACTGTTATATGAAAATATAATAAAAAATTCTATCAAACCTAACACGCTTCCCTGAAAAAAAAAATACTATACACATTTATCCTAGAGATACTACACATGAAAACTGCATGAAGAGAGATTCCAGCAGGGATTTAACCCCTGGACATTCTTGCTGTGAATCAGCAGAGTCATCAACTGCACCACTATGTAGGCCTTATCAAATTTATTATAATACTGGTCTGCACATAAGCCAGTGAACTCTTTTGAGGTCTTCTTTATGTTTAAACATTTCACAAATGCTTTTATCTAAAGCAACTTACAAATGGGTGTATAACAAATGAGTTAATGTCCCTCTAATCCAGGGGTGGACAATTCCAGTTGTTGAGGGCCGGTATCAACTTTTAGATTTATCCTTGGTCCAACACACCAGAATCAAATGGCTGAGATACCTCCTCAGTATGCAGCCATTTCCTCCAGAGCCCTCTCAATCATCGCATTACTTGATTCAGGTGTGTTGAAACAAAGGCACATCTAAAATCTGAAGGATACCAGCCCTCGGGATCCGGAATTGCCCGACCCTTCTCTAATCAAACATAATAACTCTGTCATCTTCCTGTATAGATACATGTGGACGTCAATTTGCAATGATGGGTGTCAGGGGGTTAATATCACCACTTTTACATTTTAATAAAAGAAACCACCCATAGTATTAATTAGGGGTGTAAATAATAATCGTTTTGTATCGATGCATCGATCCAAAAGC